ATCACAGCACAGCACAGGATGCCGTTTCTTTCATTCGTCTACCTGCGTAGTCTCTGTCCCTGCCTCTCGGCGCAAGACTGCAAGTCCATCCCGCACCGGCGCTGACCGCAAAAATCTACTCTCACTGCCGTGCCTGGAACGCACTCCTCTTCCCCCTGGATCCCCCGGCCAGATCAACACTGCTAAACACCCACTCTGTGAACAATAAGGCTCATTTTATATGTGTCTTTATCACAGAAAAAAAAACTGTACATGATGTGCTTAACCGAAACCTGGCAGAGACAAAACGATGGTCTCCATTTCAACCGACTAGTCCCTCCGAGGTACAGATTGTTTGACTTCCCGTGTCTCTCCTCCCACGAGGTGGGGGCGTCACTGTTATTTACAGTCTTCTTTACAATTTAAGTCCTGTTACTGTACCACTTCCCTCTTCTTTTGAGTGTCTTGTTTTAAATGTCTCTGTTCCCCACTCTACTATCATTGCCACAGTTTATAGACCACCCAAACCCAGTGGAGCCTTTCTAGGTGAGTTTGCTGATTTACTTTAATTTGTATTCCTGATAATTAAGAGGATCCTTATTCTTGGGGACTTTAATATACACATCGATTCAAGGTCTTCCAGTCTGGCTGAAGACTTCCTTTCTCTATTGGGATGCTTTGATCTAAGTCCGTTTGTTCGTAGCTCTACACGTAACAAAGGATACACCCTAGATTTAATCAGGGCAAATGACTCTTTTGTTTCCCTTTGCTCTTACCTTGAACTAGGCCTTTCTGACCACTAAGCTGTTCTTTTCAATCTGGAATTGCCTGTTTCTAACACTTCCCCCTCATGCTCTGTAAATTTTTGCAACTGGTGATCAAATGATCATCCTAGGTTAGTAAAATCTGTTCTATTTTCCTCATCTCGTTTCTCTATCTCTGACCCTCTAGAGGACAAAATACATTTGTTTAATAGCGCTCTTTTATCTACCCTTGACACCTTTGCTCCTCTAAAAACTCGCACCATCTTTTTCTCGCTCCGCCCCCTGGTACACTGACCATCTGCGATCTATGAAGGCAGTCTCCCGGAAACTTGAGCATAGGTGGCGTCTTTCTGGACTAAACGTATATTATCAGGCTTGGAAAAAAAAGCAGGCTTGGAAAGAATAGTTGTCTAAATATACAGTAAGGATACAATAGAGTCTGCGAGATCCACCTTCTTCTCTCACATTGACAATAACCATAACAACCCCAGACATCTTTTCTCCTCCATCAACAGACTGCTAAAGCCTAACTAACCCACTACATTACCTGCCTCATCGCAACTTTGCAACACATTCTTAGAATTCTTTAGCTCGAAGATTGACAACATCCAGCATCATGTTCTCTACACAATGTATATCATTTCCATACCTCCTCCCTGCTTGTCTAACTTTTCTGGTTCCCTTTTCTCCAACTTCTCTCTTCTTGACTCTGCATTCCTCAGTAAACCTGAAATCCACCACCTCTATATTAGATCCCATTCCTACCACTTCATTTCAGTCCTGTTTTACTTCTCTGTGCCTCGTTGTCCTCAGTATAATAAATGAATCCTTGAGCACTGGTGTTGTAACAAACGGTCCTCAAAACTGCTGCCATTACCCCCGTGCCAAAAAAGCCTAGCATGACTCTGGACAATCAAAACAATTTTCACCCCATTCTAGAACATGCTTTCACATTTTAGCTACGTAACCACCTCATTGCAAATAACCTTTTTGAACCCCTCCAGTCTGCCTTCCATCAACTTCACAGCACAGAAACTGCCCTGGTCAAAGTCACTAACAATCTTCTAATAGCTTCTGATTCTGTTTTTTTTCTGTCTTTATTCTTCTTGATCTTAGTGCTGCTTTCGACACTGTGAACCATATCTTACTTTTTCATCTTGAGACTGTGTTTGGAGTCTCTGATATTGCTCTCAAGTGGTTCAAGACTTACCTCACTAATCGCTGTCACTTTGTCTCCCTTGGCAGATTTACATCTGAAATTGGTCTCGTTAAGTCTGGTGTTCCTCAGGGCTCAATACTGGGGCCTTTACTTTTCAGCATTTACATCTTTCCACTTGGTCAGCTGTAAAGATCACATGGCCTCAACTATCATTAAGCTGATGATACTCAAATATACATCTATACCAAAACTGACACTAATATGGCTCTCTCTATTCTATCTAATTGCATAAAAACATAAAAACTTGGATGACTCAAAATTTCCTTCATCTTAACTGTGACAAGACTGAAGTCATACTTATTGGCACCCCCCATCAACTTTGAAAAGCCAGTCCTGTAACCCTATCTGTAGATGGCTCTGTACTTGAGCTTCAATCAAAATTGAAAAACCTTGGGGTGATATTTGATTCAGGCTTGACATTCGACCCATATGTGCAGCATATTGTCAAAAAATCTTTTTTTCACCTGAGAAATATTGCTAGACTATGCCCTATGTTATCACTAACTGTGTCTGAAAAGCTGATCTACACATTTGTGTTCTTCCGAAATGACTACTGTAATGCTCTACTCGCTGGGGTATCTAAATCCACATTAAACAAATGCCAAAATGTCAAATGAACAAATGTCCGAAATTCGTCAGCCAGAATCCTGACCAAGTCTAGTGCAAGTGATCACATCACTCCTATCCTGGAGTCCTTGCACTGGCTTCCTGTCAAGTTTCGTGTCGACTTCAAAATCCTCATGCTCACCTATAAGGCACTGCATGGCTTGGAACCCCAGTACTTGTCTGGGCTATTAACGCCCTACTCTCCACCTTGCAGCCTTCACTCCTCTAATTCTGGTCTCCTAACAGTCCCCCAAGCCTATGTACACTCTATGGGGGACAGGGCCTTCTCCTGCTGTGCCCCAGAGCTCTGGAACTCTCTCCCCAAGGATATCAGAGAGTCACCTTGTCTAAACTCCTTCAAATCCAGACTTAAAACCAACTTCTTCAGAATAGTCTCTTCTTAACTGGTTCTGTTCTTTACCCCTCTGCTCCTACTGTATTTAGTACCACCATCTACACCTACATTCCCATTGTGTTTATCTTATGTATTTTTTTATTGTTGTTGTTGTTGTTGTTGTCTTTCTGTAAAGCACTTTGATAAGCCACTTTGAAAGGCGCTATATAAAATAAAGTTTATTATTATTTATGAAGTGTTTTTTAGCCTTAAACACAACAGTACTCATGATTTCTCCCAATAGTGTATCATGCTCTGTTGTTAACTCCTGTTGTCTATATTTACAGTTAGGAGACTAGATGAGCTCGAGAAACAGAATAAAGAACTGCGTGATGAGTACTGCTTTGTTTTTTTGCCTTTAAAGTGTGGAATCATTTAACAGTGTGCTTTTACAGTCATAGGAACAGGTATTATACTTTTTCTGTTTTTTAATCATCTCTTTTACCGCTAAATACAGCTGCCCTTGATTTACACTCCTGCCCTTTCATTTAAGGTGGGTGTTGTGTTCTGTTGTTAACTCTTGTTGTCTATATTTGCAGTGAGGAAAAAAGCAGAGATTGAGAAACAGAATAAAGAGTTGTGTGATAAGAACAGTAAGTACTGCTTTGTTTTTTGTGTCAAAAGTATGAAAATATCTAACAATGTGGTTTCACAGACAAGAACACATATTGCACCTGTTCTTCTGTTTTTTTAGTGGAGTCTTTTTTACTCTCAAAAAATGCAGCTGCTGTTGATTTACACTCCTCACTCTCACTGAGGAGGGTGATGTGTTCTGTCATGAATCTCTACAGGAACAGTGAGGTACAGTCAAGCCTTTACTGTGATGTCACTCAAGGGACTTTCAAACAGTGCTCACTTAACACCATGATCCCTACTTGTACTGACTCTATCTCCAAGCGTTTAAACTGTAAATAAAGTCAATTTACATGTGTATGCATTTATATGTATTACAGCATTGATATTATGAATCAGTTTTGTCCAGTTACTGTTGTCTCCTATCAATTTGCATTTTTAGCCCATAGTGTACTATTTGACTCAAGAGGAAAAGGAGGTCTGGACAACAATATACACAGCACACAGTCTGCTTTTATCTTCATTTATTTATTGAACACATCCAATTATAATTCCAGCATTGTGTGGTCTTCTATTGACCACCTAGAAAATCAACACTTCTTAACTTGCAATATCCCTGGCTCAAGGAATTTTCACTGAGAAGTATATTTCCATTTAATCTGCACCAAATCTGTCCTTGTTTTGAAGTAGATTCCTCTCATCACCGTTTTATCACTGATTGGTTTGAATAAAGCAGCAGTCAGGATACTGCTCAGTATCTCCATACTGAGGTTTCCCCAATGAAAAACAGTATCCGACACTCCACCACTCTCTCTGTCTCCAGTTCAGATGATCTTGTTCACAGACGAGGACAATTGTCTTGACAATGGGCTTTCTGCTGCCATCTTGTTATCCCTGAATAGCCTCTGTGGGTCTATATAACAAGTTAGACGTGAAGACAAATACACTTGTATAGAAAGTACAGTTGTATGTGAACGTTTGGGTATCCCTGGTCTGACTGAATGTTTCACTGAATCTCTAAGTGAAAAGAAGTTACCCCTACCTCTTACTTAAACATGTCATGTTTCTAAACATTTTAATGCACAATTACTGGTTTCGTGCCAAATTTAACAGACTGGAAAAAAATAAAACAGTGAATGTGGCAGGTGCAAAGATTGGGCAGCCTTTCAGTTGATTCATTAATACTTTTTAAGGAATAAAACTTGATTTGATTTATTAGGCCTTATATTAAGCCAGGTGAAGACAGTTCCAGTTCAGTAAATAATTTGACCCTTCTGTCCTCTCGGGATGTTGTGTCTACACTCAACAACATAGGTTCGTCTGACTCTTACAAAGCAAAGGAGGGCTATAAAATGATCTAAATGTACATTAAAATGTGGAGAAATGTGTCATGTTTGAGTTTGACCAGGAAAGATGCTGTGTTATCTTCTTTTCACTTAGAGATTCTGTGAAACATGACTTTTGACCAGTGGTGCCCAAACATTTGCATACAACTGTATACAGTATATTAAGAAGTCTAAAAAAGTGGATTAAATCCTTTTGGTTTTTCTTTTGACACACAGAGGTTCAGCACCTGGTTCTGTTTGATAACTTCATATTCAGATAAATCACGTCTTTAAACAATATCTAAATGCGGGTTCTCTACTCTCTTTAGTTACTGTATTTAAGGCCAGTAAACCATCCTGTTATAACCTGTGAATGTCTGTTTGCAGAGATGATAGACGTTTTGAGAAGGAAGCGTCAGAAGCTCTGTAAGTATGGAGATGTTTGCAGAATTTATTCTTCTCAGTTTATACTATTAAAGCCAAATATTTGCTCTCATGTGTGCACATGTCCCTAGTTTCTGCATGAGTCTCTTTGTGCTTCTTTCACTGCAGAGAGAGTCAACTGTGTGTTTGGATTGATTTTGTTCAAATCTTCATGGAATCAGGAATGAATTATTTCACAAAAATATCTCTGTTCTGAATCACTACAGGACTTCAGGCTTCAGGCTTTCTTTCATCTCTCTAGATACAGTAAAACACTTTTCTCATTCTGAAAATTGTAAATATCTTAAAAGATACTGTAGGTTTTTATTTGTTCTTCATAATATACTGTAGGAAGAACCAGTCATATGTGCTCATGTATTGTGTGCATTAACAGTGCTTTTATCTCTTTTTAACAATTGCAGTGAGACGGGACATGGGAGGTAATTCTTTTTGTTGTTATCACCAGAGTTGTTTGTTTTAATTATAATGTTTAAAATTTCATAATTATTTTCATATTTCTGAATTGATACTGAATTTTATTCATTAAACAACAATCTAGATAATATTGTTAATATTGATAGAAGAGGTATTTATTAACCAATGTGGAAGAACTTACAATGTTTAGATGTTTGTGGAACACAAACAAAGCATCTGGTATAACAAAAAGCTAAATTTATTTAAGATTACAAGATTTTCTAGTACACTTGAAAATGATTAAATGTAGGTCAAAGTGAAAGACAATAGTTTGTATTGTCCAGTTTTAAGGCTACATGAATATTGGTCTCAGTGAATCCTGATTGTACTACCTGTTCCCAAGCCTAAGGCAAGTTAAGTTAGGGTGTGGATCACTATGCTGTACAGGCTCTCCACAGCATGCTGGTGAAAGCAGTGTGATCAGTTCAGAATTCATCCTGAAAACCCTGGCAAATCTAGATGAGAAACTAGATAGATACAGACACAGAAGTGAGGGAAGATAATCCATTTTAGTCTTTTTTATTCAATCTAAATCACCACATTTCGCAAACTGTCTCATCACTTCTATTTTGTAATTAATAGTATTCAAACAGTTTCTTGTGTAGATTCTTTTACATTGTGTGTAATGAAAAGTGGAAGCTTGCTGAGTATTAAAAAAGAAACTAAAAAGTAAAAGTTTACACGACAGAAAACCACTGTTGGTGAGTTAATTATGTGGTTAATGATAATAGACTTTTGGGTTTGTTGTATTTCATAATGTCAGTCTGAATTCTGTTTTCACCATCAGTCAATGTATAATGTATAAAAGTACTTGTACAGTTTTCACATAATTATCAAAATAGACTTTCAAAATGTAAATCACATACACAGATCATTAAATATGACTGTTGTTTTGTTTCTAAAACCAGAAAGTGTTATCAGGTGAAATCTTTATCTGTGGTTCTACATTCTCTCTCTGTGCTTCTTTTCCCACAGTTGAAGTGACCCTAGATGAGAACACAATGAACCCCTACCTGATGGTGTCAGAAGATGGCAGATCAGTGAGGTGGACAGAGCAGCGCCAGAATCTCACAGACACCCAAGAGCCGTTTGATGAATACCCCTGTGTGCTGGGCAAAGGGTTACCAGCAGAGATGAGATGGGGGTGTTACTGGGAGGTGGAGGTTGGAAACAAGAAGTCCTGGGAGCTGGGAGTGGCCCGAGACTCAGTGTGCAGGAAGGGGCAACTGGGTTTTAGCCCTGGAGCTGGGTTTTGGGTCCTCAGTCTTTGGGATGGGAAGCTGATGGCCCTGTCTGACCCAGAGACCCCACTGGACACAAACATTCTCACAAGAGTGGGGATTTGTATAGACTATGAGGAGAAGAAGGTCTCCTTCTACAACACTGACGATGGCTCAGACATCTATACTTTTGAAGAAAAAATAGACAGGAGTGTTCGCCCGTTCTTCTCCCCTGGCAATAATGATAACATTCCCCTTTGCATTATACAGTTTTCAAGGAAATGAATCTACTGCAGGGAAAATGAATACACCATCTTCCCTTGGAATATGCCCTCCAGAATTATCCACACTCGTGGTGAAAGAGATAGATATACTGTAATAGAATAAGTTATTTTCATCCAGATTGCAATATGTGTTTAAAATACTTCTATATTGGATATAGTTATAACACGATTTCAAGAAAAGTCATATGTGTCATAAATTACTTCCTCTCAAAACACAATGCTCTTTAATCACACCTCAAATTATTCATTTAAAGTTTAACAGACACAAATCTTGCATAACATTCTACTCTATAGATGTGCAGTAGAAGTCCTGAGGAATATATAGAGACTCTCAAAGATTCCCCTGGTCCTGGGGTGTACAAGGAGGAAACACAGAGCAGACATTCAGTAGTAGCGGCATCATCATGGTCGAGGTCAGACAGCTCTCTGAAGACTGAGGCCATCTCTGACCTCCATCATTTCGGGAATGGCTATAAAAGAATCAACAGACAGCTATCACTTTCCACTGTAAAGTAAATCATGAAGAGATGTAAGACTACTCCTATACTGGCCACCCTGCTAGAAGAGGACACAAATGTATCTTATGAGACAAATGGTACTGTAGAAAACTGAATGTCCTAAGGAGCAAAGACCCAGGTTACCAGACCAGAGATCTTCCATGTTCAGAGCATAATTAAACAAGAGACCAGTGTGCAAACTTGATCACCTTTTACTTCACAATGCGCCTGGGAGCAGGGTTGGTCCTAGCCTCTTTGGGTCCCTGGGCAAGATCTTGGAAAGGGGCTTATCAGATCACAATTTGCATACACTACTATTATCAGCTCCTACTCCAACCTTATTTAACTATAAGAACAATTAAATAAATGAATTATACAACCAGAAAACTTTTATTACCCAGCTTTGAAGAACATATAATAAATAACTTCCAATCAAGAACAAGAAGAACACATTTTACAAAGATGTATTTTTAACATTGTATTTTAAATAGAAACATCAATAACAATAAACAGGATTTGTGTTACTGAAAGACTATCCTAACTTACAAATTACTGCACTGAAATCTTTGCAGGAAGGAATTGTAGACGTGTGAAATGAAGTAAGAAAAAACAAGGCAGGTGAGATCAGTAAGGCTGAGCAGATGGGAAAATTCGATACAAATGTTCTATAAATTAGTTCACCTAGATTTTCAGGAAGCAAAATTATCATCGATTACTCAATATCTTCATTTGATAGTAGTTGATTCACTGTGTGATTGATGCTCATGATGGCCAGTCCACCAAGATGGTCTTGTGTCATGGTTGACCTCAGGTGTGTTTCAATCAACTTGAGCTTTAAGAAGCTCCTCTCTTCTCCTGCTCATGGCATGTATACAATTGCAGGAAAAGTGAATCTGTTAACATCTAGTAAAACACCTCAAGTAATCTGTGTCTCTAGCTTGAAATTGTGACATGTCTACAAATTTGTAAGATACATGACAGACTCAAAACCAAATTAAAAACAAATGATTACATTTTATTATCATACAGTGCATATATGCATTGTTACAGTGACTTGATTTAATGTACCTCAGTTTGGTGATCGCTAATCCATCTTTTTTTTCTGCTATTCAGAAAAGTATGCACTTGGTTATGATTGGTCATTTTGTGCCTGGACTTCTGCTAGGATAATTCATTTCTGTTTTTTTTTTTTTGTGTGTGTATTTAACCATGAGCCCTTAAACACTTGTCATGTGGTATTGATAATAACCTGATACTGTAAATATCAAGTGGGCAAAAATTAAACCTGGAAATGTGAAAAGCTGCTTAAAATATACCTCAGATGACTTGAAGCTGTAATTTCTGCGAAATTCGGTCTCAGGAATACTGCTCCAAGCTGAATTGTTCATTGTTTTTGATTGTTTATGAAATTTTATTTTGCAATAATAATGATTATATGCCAAGAAAATGTTAAGTATGTTAAAAAGTACTACAAAATATTTAAATGTGTTGCAGTTTGAGGTTGTAGCACAACAAAATATAGTACAGGTCCAAGGGGAGTCAATAATTTCTACACACACTGTATGTCTTTGTCCTGTAAAACAATAAGCATTTGCTAATTGAGATGGTAAAAATAGTCATGTTTTAAACCTCCTGATTAAACTTGGTCATGGTGATACCTGTCCTGCAAGCAAACAGCACAAGGTGAAAATATGCCATAGATAGATTTATCAGTCCATTGGAGGGTACACAATATGCGCTAGATTGGTCGCCAGTCCACTGAAGGGCACACAAACTGAACAATATTAGTACAAAAACAATTTGAGACACAATCTGTATAAACATATTTTGTTGATGCGTAATTTAACTTAATTACTGAATGTAAGTACTTAATTTAATAATACCCCGGCGTCCTGGCCAAATTTCCCATTGGCCCTTACCAATCATGGCCTCCTAATAATCCCCCTCTATGAATTGGCTTCATCACTCTGCTCTCCTCCCCACTGAGAGCTGGTGTGTGGGGAGTGTTCTGGTACACTATGGCTGCCGTTGCATCATCCAGGTGGGGCTGCACACTGGTGGTGGTGGAGGGGAGTCCCCCTTACCTGTAAAGCGCTTTGAGGGGAGTGTCCAGAAAAGCGCTATAGAAGTGTAAGCAATTATTATTATTATTATTTTTATTATTATTATTATTATTATTATTATTATTATTATTATTATTATTATTATTATTAATTTGGTTTGGAACGAACTGAGCTAAAGATATTTAACGTTACTACAATTACAATGATCTATTTCTAATAATAATTCCTTACACCTGTACTCGCTGAGGGGAAAAAAAGAAATATCTTCTAAAGTTCTAAATCAACCAATTTGTATTATGAAAAATAATTAGCCTGATCATTTCAAATTATTCATCCTCCTAAATACACTGGATGTGGACGTTATGTGCCTCGTGTGTGTTGTACGCTGGTAATTTTGGAAAGAATACATGTTTCCGATGCAACGGTAACCAAAAAGTAAAAAGAAAATGTATGAATAAAAAGGGGGTATTTTTCTAAATTGTATCAAGATGAAATAATCAAAATCAATCAGAAAACCTGTACAAGTTTTTTGTAAGAATCCACGAAGTGCATTCCTGAATTAGACAGTTATACTGCATGGAGAAGGTATTTTTAAACGGGTCAAAGCGACTAGATTAGTAGTTCTAGAATGAATTTAAAGTAGAATATATATAGTTTTGTTTTTGTTTTAGAACAAAATGTGTGTCACTAATCTAATCATATTAAAATGTCATCCCTGCTCAAAAATGGATGCAGGAAGAAATGCTCACAGGGACCGTTTGTCGAGTCAGGAATCAATTCGGGAGTTCTACGGTAGGACATCTCCATAGTTGACAGCAGGAAAGGCTACACAGGAAGTAAAAGTGGAGATTTCGGGAACAGAAAGCCAGCTCCACACTATAAGACTACATGAGTGTGTGAGGCGAGACCTGAAGGCAGTTTTGTTCCTACGTTTTATTTTCCTGTGTTGACTGAGCTACAGCTGTGCTGTTGTCGAACTGTAATATACGGACGGACCCATTAAGCCTGGCTACAGACCCCCCAGAAACAGGTATCACACAACTTCACATTTTTTA